GAGAAATCCATCGTTGGATTTGAAAGGGAAATAAAAATGGTATTTTTCACCATCTTACTCTTTTTCCCTCTACCTCTTCGTCAAATTTAAACCAAATGTACCCACCACCTGCAGTTGCCCAAGGCCCGCTTTGGGGAGGGAGGCCAGGGCACAGTGCCCCGCTCTTGCCCCCAAGGAGCTGATGTGGTGGGAGAGACAGCCACAGAATCGCACAGAGAAACTCATATCACAAGACAGAGCGTCTGTTCTGGTCCAGACGCCCTGCTAGGCACTTACTGTGCAGAACACGCCAGGAGCTCCAGCCCCTGCTCTGCGCCCTTCGCTTTGCTGGTTGTCTGGCGAGCTCTTATTCCCTGAGAGGACGTTAGTGAGGGTGAACTTCAGGGTGTTGTTTGTGGTCTCTTTCCCCAGTTGTGTGGAATCAGGATCCTCCACTGAGGAGGAACCCGAGCTCCGGGGGGCAGTGATTCAAATCCCAGCTGTGCCACTTGATGGCTGTGTGACCTTAGCCAAGGTACTTAACCTCTCTGTTTCTCAGTTTCTTCATGTGTAAAATTAGGAAAGAATGACAGTAGTTATCTCAGGGTTGCTCTGATGATTAAATGATGCATTTCTTGTGGGGTAGTTAATATAGCACGTTACACATGATAAGCGCTGAGAAGAGGCTGGTGAGAATGGGACACCAGGTAAAGTACTGCTGAGAAGTGAGCAGGACTTAGTGGAGCATTTTATAGGACTCTTAGATTCCTGTTGGAGAGAAAAACCAATTTGCTAAGTGCTTTCAGCACGTGCTTAACAGGCACCTGGCTACCGTAAGGATGGAAAGAGGTATTGTTGGGGTGTTATAGTCAAAAGTTTGTCAGCTTTGCTTTGGGCAAAGTAATAACCATCATTCAGTAGCTAATGCATGCAGCTCCCCGGGTTAGATGCTGGTGCTACAAGGAGGACCGGTGGACACTCCGTCCCTTAGGGGGCGCCTGACCACAGAGCCTCTGGATGACAGGGTGATATTTATTTTCTACATTTTCCTCTATGTCACAGAAAACATTTATAATCAGGAATGATGCTGTGTTTTTTAGAAGCTGTTTTGCCTACACTGTGTCAGAAGGGCCAGGAGCACCAGGTGTACGCGGGCTCACTGAGGAGCCAGGTGCCGGGCGGTGGCTTCAGGAGGAGGTGGGACCCGAAGAAATGGCAGGATCCACATGCTCGGTCAGCGTGGGGGGAGGGTTGGCCGAGAGAAAGACCAGAAAGGCCCATCTCGGCCCCTTAGCTCAGAGTCCTTACAGATGTCCCCGGTGGGGGAAGGTGGCTCAGCCCTGCTCTAGCCTGCGTGGCTCCCAGGCCAAGTGACCTCTGGAAGGTTGCTCAGCCTCAGTGTCTCCATCTTTCAAATGGGGGTCATACCTGTTCCTCTGTCTTGTGGATTTGTAGGGAGCTTCCAAATCAGACTTAGAGCATAAAGGACTATCGTAGCCTGGCCACGGTGATAGACTTGCTTCAGTTTCTGGCTCATCACTGGTGTTAGGAAACGCTTACTGGGGGCACCCGTGACTCTGGGTGACCACATTTGCTCCACTCTAGGGAATCCCTGCTTGTACCTAGTTTTGTTTCCTTTCTGCTAGAATGTCACTTCTAAGTGGCACAAGCATGCGAATGACAGCACCCAGCAGGCTATCATTGTCGCCTCTGAGCAAGTGGGTTTATCCTAGCCCGTCAGTAGCCTTGATCAATGTGAATCGCAAAGTCTCTGGAGTCCTGCCTTTTTCTCGGTTGAGTGGCCCTTGCTGACAGTCGCCGGTCACCCCGTGACTGAGCTAGCTGATAACATAGTGGTATGGATCCAGATGATGGTGACAACGCCACTCCTGTTTCCCCTCCATGCTCCCGTATCTCTTAGTGATGGCCCTGGTTAAACATAGTTCATCAGGGGACAGAGGGCCCCCTGTTTCCATCACTGCAAATCCAAGCCTTGTCTTTGCCCCTCGCACTCTAACGCTTTAGTTTCCTGTCGCAGGAACTCTTCCTCCTCTTACCAGCACGTGGACGTTAGGGTCACAAGGCGCCTGTCACTGTGACAGTTTCCTGTGCCGTTCTGGTGGCTGCTTTGGTTGGTGTCGCTTCGGGGCGCTATCTGGAGTTCGAGCCCGCAGTCCCCATGCTTTCCCACCCTGAGTGACCCTGGCCCCGGGGTTGCTGTGTGACTGTGCTTTTTCCTCTCAAGAAGCAGAGGTGCTCTGGCCGAGGAGCCCTCCTGGCTCTGGCTGACTGGCATGAGCAAGATCGCTGTTCTCAGTGCGCCACTGATGGCTGGAGAGCCGGGACTGCGCCCCGCAGGACACCGTGTGTGACCCAGAAAAAGTCCAGTTCTTGCTTCTGCTCTTAGTCTGATCAGGAGCCTGGAAGAAAAGGAATCAACCTGTGGGGTGCTGCTCTAGGTCAGAAAGTCCGATAAGAAAAGGTTATGCTCATGTGTGGGTTTTAACAAGACATTGAATGTTGACAATTTAAGTTGAGTATGGCTTCCTCCTGCACGCCCCAGAATCAAACCAGCAACCTTCTGCTGCATGGGCCAACGCTCAACCACTGAACCACACCAGCCAGGCCCAGCAGATGATTTTGCCGTGAGTGTGTTCATAGGGCTCTGTGAGACCTGCAAGAGCTGTGGTTTGAGAACTTCAGTCAAGGCATTATTTTGATGGGGACTCTGCTGATCTTTTTCTCATGAAAGTAATTGGGAAGGAGCAGGAAGAAGGTGGGGGGAGAGGGCAGTAGGGAGGCGAAGCCGAGTGAACAGAGTGGTCCGTCTTCTGTTAGTGTCAATGCAGGTAGAGTTCAGATCACAGGGCCATTTGGTGAAGCTGCCTCGAGCTCATCACCCAAGGAAGGGGTCACCATGGGAGAAAGTCCTTTGGCCACGTTCATACTGTAAATCTCATTGAGGAGCCAGGGGCTGGGTGCCCATGATTATGGACAAGGCTCAGGAGTGCCCAAGGTCACAGCTTCCTGCCGACACCAGAGCTTTGTGTTCATCTTGATCCTGCCCAGCAAATGGCACTCACCATTTCCAACCAAAGGCCAGCCGGCACTTTAAAAAATGATTACTGTGTATTATTGTGAATGTTTCTGATGATGATTAGAGAGTATTTGGAAAATACAAAAAGATTAAAAAGGGGGAAAAATTTACCCGTAATCACACTGTCTAAAAATAATACCCTTCAAATTTTGATGTATTACATTTGAAGTCTGTTTTTCTATGCATTTGTGTATAAATTTAAAGAAATTGTATCATAACATAAACACAATTTATCGTGTTCTTTTTACACTGTGAACATATTTTTATATTCTTAGATTAGTAAAAATACTATTTTAAATGGCTATATAAGATTCTGTCTTTTGGGCACACAACAATTTATTTAACTGCTTTGTTGAGCATTTTCATAGTTTCCAATTTCTATATGTGTGTGTATGTTATAAATAACAGCAGCTGTGTTTTTAGGGGAGAAAAGGAGGGGAAGAGATTTTTGACATCACGATGGGATAGTCAGCACTGTTCATTGTATTACTGCTAACTTCCCAGATATGCATGTGTGTGCATAGAGATACCTTTGTGTGTAGGTGGGAGGTGGTGTCATGTTTGGATGCTTGAAAGGAGAGAATCTCCAGGCTCTCCAATAAAACCGAGCCCTTTGGTCACCAACCTCCTGCAGGGTTAACATTTCCATCTAATAAGTTTATCCACGGAATTGGAGGGTAGTTGACTCCCAGGGGAGATTCATAGCTGCTGTGCTGAGTCCTGTGAAGTGCTGCTGAGTCCGGAGCAGATGTCCTTGGGGGTCCCCTGCCTGGGGCCCGGGGTGCTCACGGCTGCTTCTCTCCTCTCCCCCGCAGTTACTGGGGCTTCCCGATGCCGATGACGACGCGTTTGAAGAGTACAGCGCGGACGTGGAGGAGGAGGAGCCAGAGGCAGACCACCCCCAGATGGGGGTCAGTCAGCAGTAGACTTGCGAGGGCTCCCGTCTGACGCGGGTGAGCCCCGTGGTCCCCAAGGTGGGGCCGCGCGCCGCTCCTGGGCTGGCTCTTCAAAACGGGACGTCTGACTCCCAGCTTCCAAGTGAAAATGAAACACCTTTGAACCGACCACAAAAGACCTGGGATGAGCTGTGCTCAGACGCGACCTGCCTTTGACTCCCGGCTCAGTGGGTTTCGACGGAGGCGTCTCCGCAGCCTTGGCCATTTGGAAGTTGGAGTCCGTTGCGTGGCTGGCCGTCTCTCTCGAGTGTCTGCTGGAGAACAGACATTCGCTGACTCGCGTGTAGAGAGCTCGGAGTGCACTAAGGGTGTGTTTTGAGTCCTCACGGGTGACTTCATGGAGGGAAAGCATGGCAGAGAAGAAATGCAGTCTGCACTTTTTATGTACTTTGTAGGTGTTGTAAGTGAAGGGTTTTGCTTATACAGCATGAGTTTTAATACCTAGTCATTACACTGCACAAGTGCAAATATGAGGGCAGAAGAGAATGATCTTGTAGCTTTGGATGAAGCGGGTAAGGGAGGCAAAGAACCTTTCAGTGTTCTGCCCGCGCTGAGTTACCTGGGTACACGGCAACTGGTTCGTGGTCGCACAAACATCCTCGCCTGGTTGGTTATTTTTTTAAATATGGTTTTATTGATTTTAGAAAGAGAGGAAGGGAGAGGGAGAGAGAGAGAGAAACATCGATGTGAGAGCAATACAGCGATTGGCTGCCTCCTGCACCCCCCTACCAGGGATCGAGCCCACAACCTTGGCCTGCGCCCTCACTGGGAATCGAACTGGCAACCTTTTGGTGCACAGGACGCTCAACCAACTGAGCCACGCCGGCCAGGGCATGGTCGATTATTGTAAAACATGCTAATTCCAAAGCCACATTTAAAGTCTTAACAGTAGAAAATATAAATGGGGTGACATCTGTTACCAATTTCTTTAAAAGGTTTATAAACCGTCCCACGTATGAAATGACACACTTACCTTCTCTCTTTGTAATGAGATGGCAACTTGTTAAATCATGAAAACATCCAGAATCCAAGGGCCACTTCAACTTTGAAGCCATAGAAAAATTTAATGGGAAAATAAACCAGGATAACATTTTTTTAAAAATATGATGGAATCCTTTCTTAATCTGTCTTTTATTCTTAAAAAAAAAAAAGTCAAGGAAAGGATCCCACTGTATAATTTATTTAAAAATTGTAATCAAGCATTTCGAGGAGCCTAATTACAGTGAATTTTTAAAACAATATGAAAGTGGGAATCTTTTGCTTGCAGGTGAGCTTGGTTCAGGGGGCAGTGTTAATGGTCACAATAGTCAGACAACTCACAGAAAAGACTGTCATCGTTTAGCCAACAAATACTTCCAGGGGAAATCCATTGCCATGCTAACACGGACTTACTTAAAACATTCATTTTCTTGGACCCTTCTGCATCTCTGGTCTAACAACATGGATGCTGAATAAATGTAGCACCTGGGGTGGGGATGTTTTTGACATGCGTGCCTGTTAGGTTGTCTAAGTTTTGAGTTAAAAGGGGGAAAAAAGCAGCCACAGGGGCCACAGAGCTTCTGGGAGTCTTGTCTCTCTCCCAGGCATGTCGGTGGTTACGAACCTGATTATCTCAGCATCTTCTGTTTAATTGGTGCCGTGACGAGCCCGGCTGCTTTTGGTCAAACCGTGTACTGCAGTTTTAAGTCATTGGGTAAAATAACAGTGGTTTCCATCCCTGCGTCAGTGGCCACATTTTTCTCGTCTTGGGCAAACGCATTCAAGGTTAATTTCAAGTAAAATGAATTTCCTTCCAGGGAGCCTGTTAAGGAAACAAACCTTGGCGATTGGTCCAATGGGGTGAGCGTCTCCGGGCTTTGCCCCCTCGCCTGCGTTCTGATTGGCTGCAGGCCTGAGCCCAGGTGTTGGGGGAGCCGTAGCTCCTTTCGCGCAGGTTCGCTCGCCTTTGTTTTTCACCCAGAGGCTGAATGACTTCAGCGGGTGAAATGAAGGCCCTTGGCTGGCACGCTCCATTCGAAGGTAAACTGGAATTTTGTATGTAGTAGACGCTTAAAATCTGAATTTGCCTATGTTTGGAAATGGAATGGACATTGATGTAAAATGCATCTTCAAAAAGTGTTTAGGTTTTGACCGAATGCGTTTTGGTATTCTTACGTGAATGTTCTGTGTAAAAATATTGAGCTGAGGGAGACTCAGCCGTTCACCGGGCAGAGGAGAAACCTNATTCTTACGTGAATGTTCTGTGTAAAAATATTGAGCTGAGGGAGACTCAGCCGTTCACCGGGCAGAGTCCGGTATTTGTGTTGCCCAGGGTTTGGGGATAATGTTGCTCTATGTTACTTATTTTCCTGGCAAAACCCCAAAAGGCATTAGCAAGTCGGATTGTTTCCTCTGAAACTTCTTTTTCTCTGCGCACGTCCCCGCCAGTGCCCGCTGACATACGTACCCACGTCCGGGCCGTGTGTGGCGTTAGGGTTGGCACAGTGCAGGGTTCCAGCTGGTTGGCAGGCAAACCAGGCAGCCCGTGGTTTCTGTTATGGGCTTTCACGGGCACATAAACACCCTTCCCAGGAGGCAGCGGGCACCGTGGGAGGAGCACTGACCCGGGAGCTAGGAGAGGGACCTGGGCCCTGGTGCCGACTCTGCCAGCAACCCCGTGGGCAAGTCACTTCACGAGCCTGAAACAAGGGGTGTTCGCCCTTCCTGCTTTACTTCCACAACTGCCTCCTACCGTGTGTGGGTATGAAGGGCAACAGTCAGGGAGACGTTGAGGGAAATGAGCAGGAAACAGGTTTAGAATCTCACTGTCCTTAGGATCCGGGCCACGGGGCTGCCTTAGAACAGGCTCCTGTTGGTTTGTGAGTGTCTGAGCCCCCGAGAGCCTGGTCCTGGGGGGCTGAGGAGACTGTTCCTTAGGTGAGTCAGGCCCCAGAAGGTACAGAAAACACACTTGTCTCGGCTGCCCATGGTCTGCCTCGGGGAGGCATAGTGTTATTTGTGCCCTGACAGATTGTGGCTTTGGAAGTGGAGCGAGGTTAATTTAACTGAGAGGGGAAATTGCATGAAGATAGCTGGAAGGGAGTGACTTTTTTTTGCCATCTCATCGGGGGGGG